TGTATGTGAGCTRAGAAATGTGAATTRAAAAGCAAAGAATTCTGCTTTACCTTCCATAGGAATGCATGATGCCTGGTGGGAAGTAGGCAGTGTAGCAGCCYCCTGAATATTGCTCCTGGGTCCAGTTCTTTTCTTCATAATGCACAGGCTGTGAGGACCAACAGAGAAAACAGAGTGAAACAATGGCARAGAAACTGGGATTAAAGAAAGATTTCTTTAGGAGAGGGGAAAAAAACAGGCTTAGAATACCTGACAAAGGAGTGCCATGTCATCTGGCTAATGCTATCCTTCTGCACAAAATGGATTTTTGTGCTTTTACAGAAACACCAGTCTCCCACGGGGACATAACAGGACAAATTAAAACATGCACTGCCTTCTCTTTTCTTGTGCAGGGTGAGACTGCAGCTCTTTTCTTTCTGCACTCGATGCTGCCCTCCCCTCAGGCATACATTGCRTGGCACAACATGCAATTTTAGGCACACCTTTTAGGTGCCAGGAACTTTGGCTTTGTGATCCAGAACAAAGGAGCAGCATTATTGTAYAACAGAGGCAAAAACAGGCATTAATTCCTTACTTGTAAAGCCTCTTTCATCCCCAGTGCCTTGGCATATGCCTCACAGATCTTCTTTTTCCTGTATGWAAATAAAATCAGAGTCAGAAAAAAAGGGGAGGAATCTCACCACTCTTATTCTTCTTATTAAAAAAACCCAACAAATTTATTGCAACACATTGCAAAGAAAGTTGGGTTAGGCTTTGTTTTTAAGTCTGAACTCAAAGTTCTTATCTTAACATACATATTTCAAATGCTGATGCCTAAAASTTACATCTAAAATGGACCCAGGGAATGGGAAATGAAGGTTGATTTTGGCAATGWGCTCTAAAAAAATAAATCTTTGTACAGCTATTTTAGGATGCAGAGCCAATTCATTCTCATGTTCAGTGGTGTAAGACCAGAAGAAAAGCAATATAAATCAATTAAATCCCTACAGATTTACYATAGCTGGGAATAAAATATGAGCTGAAGAGTGCTGCTCACATTCCTAAGCAGAGCTCCTCTTTCACTTGCACAGTTCCAAAATTCACATTTAGAAAGCACTGTTTGTTCATTTCACCGACTAATGGGGAAACCATACTTTTGAAAACACAGAAGTTTAGAAGTTTTATCAGCCAGTCTGAATGTGAAGGAGCCCCAAAAGAAGACATGTCAGCACTCCCTGTGTCCTGGGGTTAAAGTGCCATTCCCTGGGGATGTAGTGGGGGAACATCTTTGGAAAAATCTTCTCTGAGATTTTTGACCCAGAGCTGGTAAATCATAGCATGGAAGAGTGGGCAGGACTTGGAAACTTAGAAATATCCATAACTGGATGAAGACTGGCATTAGTATCTTTGTTTCTTTATGCTAAAATCTCTATTTCTGCCCCAATTTCCAGTGCTGGTAGCTGCACTGAGCACGTGTGTTTGTGCATATCCACACACACATATTCACACATAATTCCCGTGGGGAATATTCACTCTTACCTCTCCTCCTGGCTGAGATGGGCCAGTTTGAAAGCCTTTCTGGTAAGGATGAAACTGGAAAGAAGAATATGGAACATGAACATCACCCCAGCTGGTTCACAAGCTCTTGCTCAGAATGGCTTTAAAAGAGGATGGATAAAGCACTTTACTGGRATGTAATGGGTTTGCTGTTTGTCATCACACCTCAATATTTAATAATTACAGGTCACACAGGTGAAAAAGGTAACCTGCAGAGTTAACTGGAAGGRAGGGTGTGCATTCCCAGAGGGTTCCTATCTGTGCTTGATCAAAAGGACTGAGATTGAGCTTTCCTGAGCCTTTGAACTCTGGCAGGCAGCTGTCTGTCACTTGGTGTTGGAAAGTGATGGCAGCTTGCTGCTCTGACAGGCACTGCACAGTGCCATGGATCCCTCCTGCAAGAACTGTAATTAATATTTATTCATCTTGAAGGAAACAGATTTGGCAATTAGTTCATCTGACCCCAGTGGAGATACCCAGATGAAGTGCGCCCCTGCACTCTATTGGAAAGTCTCATAAATTCACAAGGAGAAAGAAAGCCAGGTCTGTTTGCCATTTGGGGTTTGCTGCACTCAGGTTGTGGAAGCTTCTAAGCCCTGAACATGCCCATAAACGTGTAGAGCTCAGTAGAAGTGGTGAGCTTTGCCTGCCAGACACTTAAGGAGTAGCTGCCTGACATTTATATTGGCCTTTTTTGGCAGTCTCACCTCAGATTATGGTGAAAACATTTGTAAAGATTGTTTGTTCATCTGGTTTCAGCCGCTTTGAAAGCCAGTCAAAACTGTCATGTATTTCCCCACCTGTTTGTCCAAACTGTAACACTTTCACCCATCAGTTTCTACAGAATCCTGATTTTTTTCATTGCACAGCTGCTGCCCTGCTCCACCAGCTGATGTTTCTTGTCCTGCCTCAGCTCAGTGGTGAGAGAAGGCAAATGAGGATTTCTTGGACAATTGCATTGTCATTTTGGCCCACAGCTAGGTAAGAGAGGGATTTGTTTCTAAATCCACTCCACAGCAAAAAAACCCATGAATGGAATGTTTGAAACAGACTGCAGCTGAATTCAGCAACTCCTTCCCAGCCATACCCTTTGTTTTGGGATGTTTGCAGCAGAACCCTCCCCAAAAAGTTTATATGGACTAGAGARGCCCAAGAGGCTTGGCAGAAGTGCTCTCCTCCATCTGTGCACACTGTGGAAATGGGAAACATTGATTTAACCTGGTCATTTCCCCTCTTCCTCCTCCTCCCACTCACTCTTACAAGAAGGAATAGACATCTGTAAGTGTGGGCTGGCAACTTTTACCCCATAATGGCAGGGAAAGTTCCATCAGGTTTCGTGTCATCTATGGTTATTCCAATGGGAGACTCTTCATCCTCAATGATGAAGGAACCACAGTAACCTAAGGGGAAAAAAACCCGAGATGATTGTCAGAGAAACTTGTTGATCAATGTTTCAATAGTAATGAGCAAGGAAAAATATCTATAAAAGTAATTCTACAGTAAACCCTTTGCTACCAATAATACTACATGTCTGAAGTGTTTCTGTAACAGTTTCTCTACTCTCTTCTCCCTGACTCGACAAATTGTGTACATGGATCTATGAAAATCCTTAAAATTCGATTGTTACTTAACAAGGAATTTCTGTGGATTGCTGCAAATCCCTCTGGCTTCCTATTTTGGAGACAATAAACATAAAAAATAAATGGATCTAGTCAGAACTATGGTGAATTATTCCATGAGTAACTTCGACCAAAGCAAACCCCAGTGTGATTACATCTGGTCACTGCAGGCTCAAATTTGRTCAAACACTCTTTTGATTTTGCTGGTGATAAGAATGTTAAGAATGGTGTTCCATAACAGTCAAGCAGCAGAAACATGGGCTGCCTAACCTAGTCCCATACCAAGACATGCTTCAGATCAACATGCAAAAAATCTCATACAGAGAAAAAAATTACACACCTGACTGTATTCCTGTCTAATTTATGCCCTAAAACATGCAAAAATTATGTAACTTTGCTTACATTGTGTGGCAAGAATATTTCTTGCCACTCTCAGTGTTGTTATAAAGGRAGAAGAAACTGTTTATACAAATAGTTTTGAAAATGGTATCAGTTAAAGCTGAGAAAAAAATGACATTGCAGCATGGAAAAAAAATCTCTTGAGCTAAAAAAAAAACTAACTGACTTTTCCCAGTCCTCTGAGATATCAAGTCTGCAGAACAGTGGATCAAAACCAGGGAAAGGTCTTGCTTACACTTAAGCTTGTCATCTGCTGTAAATTCTCTTTGGCTGCTCTAAGTGTCCCTGACAGGAGAAGTAGGGAGTTGATGCTCTCCACGTTTCAGGAGTGTTTGCCAGGGAAACTTTGCTTGTTCTTTTGGTTGTCCCACCTCAGCTACCTGCAATGAGATTGAGGGATCCTATCTGGGTCTGGACTCATCTTTGGGACAAGGAATACACTCAAGCTCAGAGAAAGAGTTCTGCTTTCTAAGGAGCTTCACTTTTCACTTTTCACTTTTCACTTTTCACTTTTCACTTTCCACTTTTCACTTTTCTGTGTTTTGTTTAGGGGTTTTACCCATTTAATCCTCCCTTGATTGTCAGACAACAGAGCTTCAGAATCTGCACAGTTTAGGGTTCCCAGCTCCTCCCCTTTCCCCAGATCCTACCCTTCCTCCTCCAGAAGGCTTCCCTGTAGTACATCATGCATTTGATGACACTCCCCATAGGCAAACGCTGGATTAACTGGTTTCTCTTTGGTGGCAGCTCAGGTTTGTAATGAATCTTCGTTGTGAGGATTGGAGGGATGGCACTGATCACATACTTGCCCTGAAATGCAGAATAAAGTCAGCCCAAGGCTCTGCCTCTCACTGAGCTCATCCCACAGGACGTGTTTGAAACATTTAATAGTTGYTCACAGCTTTCCCACACCTGACCCTACTGCGTGGCTTTCCCCCACATTTATTTCCAGGTGACCAAAGTAAATCTGCCATTTCAGAAAAAAAGAGCTGGAAAAAAAGAGACCAGAGATGAAATTTGGCTGGAGACAGATGGGGAAATGGGACAAGAGAGATCATTATGGCCTGGGTAAAACTGCCTTTTATCAYGCCCAGGAAAATGCTAAAAAAATCACATTTGTGCATATTCACAGGATGTCAATTCAGGACAAGGAATGTTGATGGTGATTTCAGCTTTCCTGAGTGTGCTCCATCCCTCTCACAAGCCCTGGGTCGGACTGGAGCAGTGCAGGACTCTGTGGGGTGTCTGYATCACTCTCAGGTGCTCCCAGGATGGTGGGGCTGCTGAGTGCAGGAAGCCCAGCAGGGAGGAAGATCAGTCTGAAAATTCCCTGGGGAAAAGAGGGTCCCTCCCCCAGGACCCTATCTCTCTAAATATCCTCCAAGAGCTGCCACCAATCTTGCAGATCCTGCACAAACTCCCAGGGCACGCTGGGCTCTGCATGCAGAAAGGATCTGCTGCCCCATGGGTGCCATTGTGGGTAATCCTGAGCTGATGRAGCATTAAACAGCACCACAGCACAGAGACAAAATCTTACTAAAGGTATTTTAAATGTGTTTTCTTTTTTGTTTTGGTGCTGTGAACCACAAACTTAGACAAGAACAAGGTAATTTTTCCTTCYTTTGAAATGGTCTCAATGCAGAACTAGAACATAAAAATATATAAAGACGTAAAAATATATAAAGTCATAAAAAGTTAAGGCAGGGAAGTCAAGAGTAATGACAGAAACCAAGCAGCAGAACACCAAGAAGAGAGCCAGCCATAAATAAATCTGTAAAGCAGGCTTCATGGAGTGTCAGYACAGCCCAAGAAATGGACACACACAAATGGGCACTTCCTGATTACATCTGGCTGAGAGCTGCAGCAGATGTATTCCCCAGCTAAATGCATRCTCCACTTTTATTCTGATCGAATTACCTCATATATCTCGTGGTTCAGAGTCTCCACAAGGACATTATCACCTGTCTGATCGATACTGATCACAGGTCTCTCCAGTTTAACTCTGCCTTTGAGSCGTTCCATTATTCTCTCCGATATCTGACCAGAACCCCCTTTAAACTTCCTCTCCTAAAACAACAAAGAGAAGAGAAACACAAACAAAAAAATCAACAGCATTAATGACAGTGACGTTTAATATGACTCCTGCTTACCATCGTGAAATTCCAGGCTGAATCTGCAAGTCCTAAGGGTGCATAAAGACACCCAGACTTTCAGAAAAGTGAGGGCATAAACCTGAGCCTCAGTGGGGATTATTGACTCAACCACTATTGCAATGGCTTCCCTAATGAGCTGGCTTAAAGACTCTTCAAGCCTGGAGARCATGCACATGTTCATGCATAATGCAGGCATTCTGGCAAAAATAAACATATCGCTTCATTCAAAACAGGTTTTGAGTGTTTTACCCACTACGGTGCTACCAAAACCCTCAAGTGTGATAAAGAAACCAACAGTAGAAAGACTGTGCCAGCACAGAAGACAGATATTTCACTGGGTCTGGCCTCAAGTGCAACAGGCAATGAGCTTTCTGTGTCCCTGGAAGACACAAAGACAGGGCTGTGTGGAGGAAAGCACCGTCTGTGACACATTTCCCTGCAATGCCTGTGCAGAGGGTCGAGGGAAGCACCAAACCCTTTTACCCACAGCCACCAGTGAGGTGTCCAGCAGCTCACCAGGGACGTGCTGGTGCTGGCAGGGAGGAAAGGATCCACCAASTTTTGTGCTGAAAGACTGCAAAGGCTGCCCAAGGAGGTTTTGAAAGGCTTGTCAAAGCCACTAAACCATGAAACATTAGTGCTTTTAACTGATATAATTGGGGTGAGGGAAGAGGGAAGCCTGACAGGAACAAAGACAGCTTTTCCCATGCAGGTACAAAGAGAAGGAAGTGCTCTTCCCAGGCTAGCTTTCACTTCTCCACAATTTGTTTAGCTATGAGTATCTTGGGATTAATTTTATTTTTAACTCTTGCTGCAACATCTGTCAGCTGCTGGTGTGGGACAGCAAACAAGACTGAGGGGTTCCTGAGGAGGAAAGCTCTGAGTCAGGGCTGTCCCCCACCCCAGGACAGCATCAGCYCTGCTCACATCCCCCTGACACAGGGCTGTCTATTCTCATCCCAAAGGACAGATGTTTATGGGAACTGTTGACATCTGGCCTGACCCAAGAAGGAAGGGCCTTTTGCTATTTGCTTCCARCTTTTGTCATTAGAGGCTTCAACATMAAAAAACTCCCMCATTTYRYTCTGAAGTRCACTTGTTCTGAACTCTTGGAAACATTCAGATGMTCCAAGTAACCCAAAGAAATAATTTGGCAAAAAATCAACACAACAGCAACAACAGTTCTGTGCTGAAGTGAATGCAGAAACCTCTCAATTGTTTAAATAGCCCCAATTTATCCCAAAACCTAATAAAATCCTTCATTAAATAGGGTTARTTGAAAGGGCTGTAACACCCCATGACAACATGACTGTCTGAGGTGCCACATGCTCTCATCTTTTCATCAATTGCAGGGTTTTGATGGGTACAACATTTCACTTTTTCAAGAGAGGGGGAAGAAAATGAGACATTTTGTACCTGGCCCCCRTTGGTGATAGAGAAAATCCTGGATGTGCCCCCACACTGCCTCACATACCACAGGAACCAGAGGGCAGAGACTTCGTGAGGCTCAGAGGTGACGTTGACGTTCACAAAGACCGTGGCAAAGTCTCTGACTGCTCTGCATGAGAGGAGCAGGAAAAGGCACTGAGAARATATGACTTCCTGACTGTTTTCAGGGTTTTCTTTGTCATACTAAACAAGGGTTGTTTTCCCAAAATCAAGAAAAGTCAAGATGATTTAGTTCTGTTCAATTTTTCAATCTGTAGTGTCAAGTGTTTAAATAGGTTTTTACCAGCACCTCCCTCCTGAAGTATTCACCCATTTAGTCTGAAATCCCACTGATTTCACCTTAGTTATGTCTTTAAATAGCTTCCCAGCTGCTATTCCTGTCATCAGAATATTTTCCTCAGCAGAAGAACATTTTTGGTAATCTGTTAGCAAAACTTTTCTGCATTTCTCCTGTGTGGGGAGTTCACTGGGCACATCAAACCCAAGGTCTGGTGGGTCCTGGGGGACCAAAATGGCCACACAGCCAAAACATTCCCCACCTCTCGTGTAACAATGATCTCTTGTGAAACCGAGAATCAGACTMGGCAAATCACCCAGACAGAGAAACCAAATTGGCATCAATTTCCATAAAAATAAGGAAAGGGTCACCTGCCTACCACAGCAAGTCCCCTGAACATAAACAGAGGAGCTGCAGCAGGAGCTGAGGATCTGGCTGTTCACATTTTGTGCATTTGTGGCCACAGATTGCCAAGAAAATCAAGATAATTTTGCAAAGAAGGTAAAAAGACTTTGACTTGGATGAAGCTTCATAAAACAACATGAATTTATAATCATCTGCTAAAGGAAGTAACTTTGCAAGTTGTCTGGGCTAAAATACGTAACTTATAAACTTTTATAACCTCACTTCCCTAAGTATGAAGTCCATTTGCCCCTATTTCATTAGCCAGKGTATGAAAACTGCCTGCACACGAGAACCTTCAATGACAATCCTGAAAGCCCCAAAATACTAAGCAGCTGCAGCAGGTTCAGGCCTGAGAAATGTGGAAAAAGTCTCCAGGATCAGTAGAWGCTGATCTGTGACACAGAAAAAACAAACATTTTGTAATCTTGGCCTGAGTCATACAGAAAGTGCTGTGGAAGATCTTTTCTGTTTAAGCATTGCTTTTTAACTACGTGTAGAGAAATGTGGCTTGGCTTGAAGATCTAAATGGGTTTTTACTGGGTTTTTGAATGTGTTTCAGCTGAGCACATCCATGAAAACATCCATGATGTTTCACTGACAACACCATTGGCAGTAGAAGGTGCCCAGCAGAGAAGCTGTTAAAGAAGGGATCACTAAATCCAGTCTTGCTCATGCTCCTCCAGCTCCCTGACCAAGAAAAGCAGTAAAAATGAGCAGAGGAAGAGTCAGTGCACTCAGAACAGTAGCTCAAAGTAACCGAGTTTGCAGGCAAAAGGCTCATAAAGCTAATTGTAAAAAAAACTGCAATGCCACAGAGAGAACAAATGGCTGCACAGCACATCCCACAGAGCTGGGGCAAGACCTGAGCCATAAAAACAAATTTAAAGTGGAAAGTTTTGGTCAGGAAGCTGCAGGCACAGCATTAAACTGCAGCCAGAAGGAAAGGGCAAACAGAGCACAGCCACACAAATAAAAGGCACTGAACAGGAGGGAGGAGAGTGTCACAGAACAGCACAGGGGCTGGCATGGCGAGCGGGGACAGGAATTTGCTCATAAGAGCACACTTCTCTTTGCCTTATAAAAAGRATTGATTGAAGAGAAAAAGGAAGGAAAGAGAATTTTCAGTTGTTGTCGCCTCAATGTATTGAACATTGTTGCTTTTAAAATGACAGTGTTCATTTTACAGATGACACAACATCTCGAGCCCTTTTCCTGCTAACCAGTGCTGATGCTCTGCTGGACCTGCTGTTCACACAGAAGGAGGGCCTGTGGGGTAATGCAAAGGTGAAGGGCAGCCTTGGCTGCATGAGATTGTGGAGTTWAAGATCCTGAGAGGAGTAAGGCAACAGCAGAATTGCAGCCCAGGAATTTGGAGGGGAAGATTCCATCCTCCTCGAGGAYCTGAATGTCTCACAGGAAACTCTCCTGCAGGGCAAAGAGCCCCAGGAGAGATGGCTGGAGCTCAATGGTGCAATGGTTTGAAGTGAAAGGAATTTGGGAAGAGCCCCCACCACTACTGCAAACCCCAGGCTCCCCCAGCACCTTTGATGCCACCTGCCAGCCAACCAAACCCCACCTCAAACACCTCCTGATCTGGGCTCAGCTGTGCCCCAGAATCCACCACAAAGCCACTGTCATCCTGCAGCTGCAATTTCAAAGCAGATGAAGAGTTACATACTTGGTCCAGCAAATCTTATTGATCAGCTCTTTCATGGTCATTTTGTCCCATTCTTCAGCATGTGGAGCATCCCACGGTGCATCAACAGGAATCTGCAGACAGAAGTGAAATACCCAAGTAATTACCCACTACTGCACCACTGCCTGGTCATAGCTARTTACCAGCACACATTTAATTGATATGTTGGCCAGGGGTTAACTTTTGTCCCCTGCACATGGACATCAATTTGGAACAAATTCATTAAATTGAATAGTTTCCATTTGCACCTTTGGGCATGAATTGTACCATGACCTTCAAATCAATTTTTGTCTGACCAAGGGACTGTACCCTTCTGTTGGGACTCATCTGGCCTTTAGYTGTCCAGAAGCTGCTCCAATTTAGTTGTCCTGGTGTCCTCTATAAGTTGAGAGGAAAGTTCTTTTCTCAGTCAGTTCCAACATCTGTATCCAAAGGCCCCTATGTCTCTTTGCTAATTGCAGAGTGAGAAAAAATGTCTAGATACTACTGAAATATTTCTAGGCAGTTAAATTCTTAATAATAATTCTTTGCATGTAAATAACATGTAGAGAACACAATCAKATCCCTTAATCTTTAAAAAAAGTTGTATTATTTGACAAAAAAAAAAGTGTGGTGTCATACATAAATTCCATTCTGCAAAACCACATAAAACTAATGAACTCTGCAGGAGTACAGGGAGTTATTGAAGGTCCTGGTAAGGTAAAGCACTTAGTTTGTTGCTAGATTATTTGGCAGCTGAATAATATTTGAAAGACAGTATAATGCTCCAGGGGTTGCAGCTAYAGTGCTTATATTTTGTATTTTAAAAACAAAGTTACTGTGAAGTCAAACTGGAGCCCAGCTTAGGCAGCTACAAAAAAAAAGAATCATCTTTACTCAAAAAGGCTGTCACAAGGGAGGAGGAAAAAACCCTTCTAATCTCCCAGCTCTTGAAATGGTTTTCCTTGTCATGAGAAAATACTTGCACTGAGTTCAACCTCATTTTTTTCAGAAATCTTAGACACCTGCAGATCTTTTTGTCTCCCCTCACAGAATCATAGAAAAGTTTGGGTTGGAAGAGAATTTTAAAAGTCATCTAGTCCATCCCCTTCTCAGTGAGGAAAACCTATTATTTCTGACAGTTCCTGGGTAATATAAGAATCTTTCTTGATGGATGTTTCCCTTCTGTTTTGTTTTGGTTTTGAGAATTTTTTAAAATATTAAAGTTTTTTAATATTAGATTTWAAAAAAACCCTGCCAGAAACCAAASCAAACCAAACCTGATATATTCATGGTGACACAAACATTATAGGAAACAGGCAATTTTCACAGCCTACCTCTCTTCCCATTTTGTCCATGGTTCTCCAGAAGTTGTTGTAATCCAAATAAACCAAGGGATTCCATGTTGMAGGGCAAATACCCGTGAAATTTCGTGACTTTCCCTGAAATGCACATAAAAACAAAAGCAACTGAAATAAAACAGAGCATATCTTCATTACTCAAGAACACAAAATCCTCAAAGTCATCACACAGTTGGCCTTTTGCCCCAAAATGTTTTTGGTTTTTCCCTTTTTATTTTCTTTCCCCCTGCATATGGATGCAAGCAATGGAATGCATAAAGCTAAGCAGGGGATAAAAACAGCTGGACTGACATAAAAAAAGGACAATAACACCTTTATATATTTATTATTCTGAGGGGATGGGTTGGAGTGTATTGGCTCTGAGCAGGCTGTCAAATTCTGGACTAAGGAGACTCAAGCAATGGCCRAAGAGATAATATCCCTTGCTCCTAAGCATTTTTTCATTATTACAATTAAAAATATCTACTATTTGCCTCTGCTGAAATGTGCATCCTGAAACTTGCATGGGTCAAAAACTGTGTGTGTTTTGAACAATTTAAGCACC